ACAACATCTGTGGTGCTTCTTTTGTTTGAAAGGGTACAGTACATCTCAAAGCACGCCTTATTTAATAAACTGGGACTAGTGACTAGTATGTCCCCCTCTCAGGTTATTAGTCACAACCACAAACTAGAAGAAGCAAGCTTCTTCCATCTTGAAAAAAAAACATACAAATTGAGGCGGAAAAAAATTGAATGGAAGGGAAATACGGTGGAGCTGTTGAGGCATATTACTGGTTGGAGATAATCCAACTTTTAAAGGATGAAAAATTCAATATCATTTCTCTTTGTATGGTCTAACTTCTAGACTATACAGTTCATACAAGATACTTGAGATGATATCATGGTGAAACTTGAGTGCAAATCCGCTATGTTAGCAAAATATCTATGATACAAATGAGATAAATGATATGATGCGGTTACTAGATCTAATAAATGAAAGGACTCAACTATTTGATATAAAGCTCCATACTAACAACTTGATTACTTCTAACTTCTATAGATCAGACATAAGGAGCTAATAAAAAACTCATGGACTAAATGCTAGGTTTCCAAATCTACAGTCAGGTTGGGACAAGTATTTATGCAGCCTGAGATTCCAAATTCCAAATTCCAAATGTCTTCACTCGAATGAAAGAGGACATGTTGCTGCTATAATAGAAACACTTCATCTCAAAGCTTATGTAGCCAAAAAGTACGCATATCCTCTCAGCTACCAAAAGTGTATATGTATAGGGAATTTTGACATACAACTATACAACTAGCAGAATCCAAGTTCCCAATCTACAGTCAGGATAAACACAGTTCAACACAATTACCTCGTAAATAGATCATAGCATCATGGTAAACGAAAACCTGGGGAAAAGTTATGAACCGCCGGTTTTCATGACTTGATGGAGTAATTGAACACATGATGAGTTATTATTATTCAGCGCCTCAACTCCAAAAAATGACTGAAAAATTTAGTGCACATACAAAATTTGGAAATGCCTCCGGCGGCAACACCTCTGGAGTTCGGCAAACTTCAGCGACATTAGCAAATTGCAAGAAAAAAACATTTGCTTCTGCGTTCGTCTGTAGCACAGCACCGTCGTTTATCCGTCTTCTTTTCTCCCGAAGTCGCTTCTTCTTGCGTTCAATTGTACCGTAAAAACAGATCATCGTTTCCGTCCAACGTGCCATAACAGAGGTTTAGGGACCGAAAGGCAAATAACAGGTTTTGCCTGTGTTTAAGAAGTCCAAATGTCGGACTCCTATTAGCCCAACAAGGCAGATGTACGGTACCCTCTTAAATATAAGAGCATCCGCAATGCATAGCCATCTAGTGCAGATTTAATATGCCACCTCATACAATTAGACTTTGTGCATCTTTTATTTGCTCCAATGGGTGTAGTCTTTGCTGAGTTGGCAAAGAAATAACTGGACACCGTGAAGGAGGGTTTTCAAGTGTGGAAAGTGTGATGAACTTGCTGACTCAACACATTTTAATAAAAAACGGTACGAAAACGAAAAAGTAGCCAAAACTTCAGCGGAAACCCCTCGCCCACCACTCTACGTCCCAAAATCACAGTATGATCAACTACGTTACTTTATACAGAGTATATTTGTATATTTATATATTTATATCTATATAAATATATATAAATTGCAGAAATTAGAACTTTCCTTAATTCACTATAACAAGATATCAGAACTCTCATACAAATATACAACACATTCATGTACGTACATATCCTGCATGTTCCAGCAAGCACATGTATATGCGTCGTAGTCGTTTCGTATTGGGCCAAAACATAACATACTCCGGTAATAATTATATACAGGGTACTTGGTATATGTATAATATATCAGCTGGTATGTGTGCATTATGTATGTAAATTAAAAGAGGATTCATGTATGACGTACTTTAACATGAATACACGATGCACTGACTTCAAATATTGTATAGATGTGGGAAATGGTTAATTTAATATGTAGATAGATATTATCATTTTAATTAAAATAAAAAATAATTCCGCCTGGACATTTGAATTGTACAGACGGACTACATGCATTGGAAGCTTTTTATTTGTTTCAATGTACCGTCACTTCACTATGTACAATTTAGCTAGAAAGGCCTTTTGTTTAATTGACATGTGGCACACTTTATTTGGACTAGAAGCTCCAGCATTGTGGATGCTCTAAGAGGTACCGTAGAAATTTCCAAAAAATAATAGCCACCGTCAAAGAGAACTTGCGAGCATAGACACCACCGTAAACTTGCTGACTGGACCAAAACCAATAAGAATATGCGTTGTTGACGAAAAATTAAAGAAAAATTAAAAGTTGCATTGTGGTGGGTCTCTTGTTTTATTCAATTTGTTTCTGCAAAGCACCCAAATACCTTCTGTCCGGCGGTTTCCGAATACCTTCTGTCGTTTATACAGGGATTATAGCATATTACTATACATATATGTGTGTATGAGATTCAGAATAAATCCAGATTTGAGTTTTTCATAATAATTCAAATAAACCTATTAACTATGAAGAACACGAAAATCATTGGTAGCTTTAAAATCCTTGATGGATTGCAGAATTGCAGTAAGCAGCGTGTCGATGAAAAGTTAATATACTAAAATTTGGGTAGGAAGACTTTGTGGGTTGGAGGCTTGTTCCGTAGTTCAAAACCTAGTCATTTGACATTGTATGATGTGTATTAGAAACCCATTTAATTATTTGACATTTGGCATACTTTATTTAGACTAGAAAGCATTGCATTAAAGATGCTCTAATGTGATCGTATAATGTCTTCTGCAGTTCTGCCTTAAATAATTAATGTGTGTTTACTGTAGGGATGGAGCCAGGTTCTGAACAATTTCGAAAGAAACTTCCAAACTGCTAATCATCCAATCAACCAAGTAGGGATCGATACCATTGATCACTCAGGGATGGGGTGTCATTTGCACCATTCATCACTAGTTATTAGAACATAAATTTGAGATTATCAAGATATATTATAATCATTAGAATAATTATATATAATCATATTCAAAAATAATTTTCATCCCAATTTAAATGTAGTAGTTTTGACATGTATTTTCCAACTCGCGACATGGCCGACAAGATTTATTGACAAAAAATAGTATTATTTTGTTATCAATAATACACTAATCTAATTTAAATGTTGTTTTTAGGTATACTGTCCAACTCACCCCACAGCCGACATGATTTAGTTGATAAACAATGGTATTATTATGTGACCAATAATATGTTAATCGCAAATTATACCGTACGACCGACATACCATGTCCATGGTATGCCGGTCTAAATAGATGAACAAAACTGCAGATGCCTCTCCTTGAATTGCCCAACAAAAGTGAAAAGCATCGTTTAAAATTCTCCATGTTTCTTGTCGGCATAGCTAATCCCCAAACTTTTTTCAAAATTGAAAAGCAAATTCAAACTAAAACGTATCTTTTGCTTTGATTGAACATGCTTAATAATCAAATTCAATTAATATAATTTTCTCTATTCTATTGATGCCAATCGATAGAATTAATTGGTATATATATATATGTATGTATGTATGTGTATATATGTGTGTGTTTAATATTTTAAGTTTCATCTTTTTATAAGCGAGTTACATCTTCTGAAGCGTGATTTACATCTTTTGAAGCGCGAGTCACATGTGAATTTTCCTCTGCAAGTTACATCTTGCTTACACATGATTTACATTTTTCATAATGCGAGTTATACCACAATGAATGACATTTGAGTACACGGTATTTACATTTAACAATAGCGTGAGTTACATACTAAAACAAAGGATTTACATCATTAAAAAAATTGAGACAAATGCAAATGTACCGCTCACCTTACGCCGGTTGCACGGTATGTTAATGGTTTTTACTTCATGCGAAATAGAGAAAATTAATAATCAACCTTTTAGGCGCCTAGCAGACAGCTAGTCCAACGATTAGCTCATTTATCTGTCTTTATATATATGATGATCAATTCACGATTTGTCTTAAACAGCTGGTAAAAAACAATTTGATTTATATTGATTATACTTTTAGCAAATGTCAATGTCATCTTTAGTTCAAATACCTATATGCAAGTTGTAACTCAATGAAGTAAAAACTCCATCCGTTCCATAAAATTTTTCTGGTTGGACTTGAATCGAAGTTTAAGAAAGTGAGAATAAAGCGAAAATATATTATTGTGATTAAGTCAGAAATAAATAAATAAATGTTAGTCACAAAAAAATCTTTTCAAAAAGCAAAATAAGAAATTTTTTGAGACATCTTAAAAGGTAAGGGGAAACAATTTTATTTTACGGAAGGAGGGGAGTAGTAATATATTATTATTGAGTTACTAACCCAATGAAGTACTAATAAAAGCTAGTGGACCATAAATCCATAAACATGGATAAAAATAGTTTGTCACGTATCATATACATACGCCTATAAATAAATAAATAAATAAATAAATAAATAAATAAATAAATAAATAAATAAATAAATAAATAAATAAATAAATAAATAAATAAATAAATAAATAAATAAATAAATAAATAAATAAATAAATAAATAAATAAATAAATAAATAAATAAATAAATAAGCAAGCAAGCAAACAAAGAAATAAATAAATAAGTAAGTAAATAAATAAATAAATAAATTAATTAATTAATTAATTAATAAAATAAAATATATATACACGAGCCAAGCTTATGAACACGAACGGATCCATTATATGTGAATATATGCATGTCTAAATCTGCACATTTATAAGAGTTGACTGCCAGGACTGGTCAAGACTCAAGACGAGCGCACCTACCCTTTTTTTACAGGTCTAAGTGTCTAACATCTAGCCACGATCTCTAATCTTCATGCGTAAAAATGAAGTTGTTTTTATTTGGCTATTTCCAATGTTGCTTTAGTTTGATACATATGCAAACATTTACCGGAGTGGACCATACCAGTTCAAAACTTCAAATCAAACCAACTTAAACACACCACACAAGCATATTTAAATCCAAGTAAACACATCCTTATCCACCCAAAAGAATACTCGTTCCATATTCTAATAGTTCATTTTCCTTTTAAGAAAGCTTTCAAATACTTCAAATAAGTGCAACGTTTCCAATTTCCGAACTGGATTACAGTTTCTTGTGACTAGGAAACCACCACCAGTGGCTAAGTGGCTAACTAAAAAAATGTTGTCAAGTATATCCAATGTTGCTTTAGTTTGATACATGTGCAAACCCCAATAACACCTCTCTGTATAGGAATCTGGCATACAAAAAATTGCTAAGTTGAGGAGATGTACTCGGATGACAACAAAAGAATAAGGTCGTAGCCACTCGTGAAATCTCCCTCTTATTGAAAGGCTGGGTTTTCCCCAAGGAACCCCAAGGCTTTCAGGTTAAACTAATAGTAGATGCATAAGCCTGCAATAGGGTTAGAGCTTGATCGGTGATGGCTCTGTTCCTGGTGCGCCTGATCCATTCATCAACAACCTCCGCCGCACAAGTTCCCCTCACGCCTTTTTCCAGCTCATCTGCAGCTTCAATTAGCTTCTCCTCAGCTAAAAGAGTCTGTACTCTGTTAATAAGAGATTCAATGCCATCCCCTGATCGGTTCTCCTCGCGAACCTGGACTCACAGCACACAAAATCAGAAGCCTAGACAATATTTGTGCAGCGGACTTTAATTGGGTAGTTGGTATCCACTGTGTGTGCCCACCTTTAGCCAAGATGTGATCTGAGCCAAAGAATGCGTCAAAATCCCACCACCGCCAGGAGGAATCAGAGCAAAATGCCTGATGGATCCTTTCAAATCATCAAACTGTAAATAGAGCTGGTCATTAGACCTGCCACCTTATATACGTAATTTCCAAATAAATAGAAAAAAGTTATCTGTAAAACTAATTTATACAACACATTTGTACAACTAAATTTTCTTTGTGCATAGACGAGATTTTTGTTCAAACAAGCAAACTATTGTCTATGTAAAGCCAAAATATATTGCTTGTGTGAAAACAAATGTTCCAAAAGACATAAATCTTGGTTGAACAAAAAACTTGTGCAAGTGTGTTGAACAAATTGTTTGCACACCAAGCATGACTGTTGGTAGAAATATCACCCAAAAAAGAATATGAGGGCCCATAAACTTGCCTTGTGATTCAGTTGCAATAAGGTGTCGGTGCCATACTTTTGTGTTTCTTCAGGAAGAGAAGAGAAAACTAACTTTAGAAGAGAATCATTATCAATCCCTTCAAGACAAGAGTCGAGAGCCTGTATTTCATTCCGAATTGGTAGCCCCTTGGACAAGGCATCTTCCAATGAAACTGCCCCCTGAGAGAACAGCAGTTAGAAGTAGAGATTTCTGAGTGCTGAACAAAGCTAATGAGTAAGTTACATAAACACGTGGCAGAGAATCTTAATAATATGATAGTATGATACTTCATTATTTTTAAGAACTTCATAACCTAGCACTGATCAAGCTATTCTACATACGAACTGATCAACAAGGAACAGAGGTCGAAGGTTTAACATGTCTTGGCGAATCTTGCTTACAATCCAGGTAACAGCGCATATTAAGGAAACAGTAAAATATTAAGGAAACAGGTCAAATAAAACTAAAGTGACTTAAGTGGCAGCACGAGTGGAAAAGGACTGTAAAATACTCCATAGTCCAAACTAATAAACATAGTTTTCATAACATATTAAAAACACTACTTGTATAGTTGTATTATTAGCTAAGTTTCAGAAATAAGACAATCTGATTATAAAGAGCACCTTCTCGTAATACAAGTACGAGTATATTGTTGAATACAACAACAACAACAACATCCAAGCCTTAGTCCCAAAAGATATTGGGGAATAAAACAAGTATATTGTTGAATCCTTAGTAAAAAATTAAAATAAAACAAAAGCATTTTAATGAAAACAGTCCGGAAACAGTCAGTCCATGGGTCATCCGGAAACAGTCTCTTTGTGCTAAGTCCATGGGTCCCCCCCTTATCCCACCGTAAGTGGGGGCCTTTGCAGTACTGGGGTAATGTTGTTGTTGTTGTAAAAGCATTTTAATGGAAGAAGGTTTTTACCAAAGCGAGCTTGTGAACAGAATGAGTCTGCCTAGCTTCTTCAGAACGTGCATAGAAAGCCATGCACAAGGCATTTATCTGCAAAAGAACAACTTTAAGTATGTGTCCTTTCTATACATATCACATACAATATAAGATATAAAGGAATAACAAATAATTGCATTAGCTTTCAAATAAAAAGAGCAATACAAATAAAATAAAGAGCAGCCTGGTGCACGAAGGCAACCCCACAAGGAGATGGTATGGGGAAGGGTCCCACCACAAGGGTGGTATAGGGTCGTAGGGGGCAAGCCTACCCATGTCAAATTTTGTCAAAACTTGAACCTGTGACATCTCAAACTCTCAGTCATACCAGCACCTTAACTGGCGCGACAAGGCTCCCCTTCTACTCTCAACTTGCTTTTGCGTCTTAACAACATTCATGGCTACAGTACTAGAGTAAAATAATGTTTGGCATCTTGGCCAAAATTTGGGCCAATGAATTCTTGGTTGAATCATACAACATTACAGCATAAATCTCATCCTTGGCTCATATGGGATAATGGATCAAGTCAGATTCTGCAATGAGCCCACTTTGCCAGAACCAAGTCAAACTTCCTATTTCACATTATAACGCACTTGTGGTTATGTAATTATGTTACAGAACTTTTCAAATATTGGTTATTGTCTTTATGCTTCTATTTGCAAGATAAATCAACGCCTAGATTGGCCTCAAACATAACTCTTGCAAGCATAGGTTGTAGACATACACACGAATACATATTGTGCAATGTGACATGTGTATTATATATACTGCAAATGAGAAGCTGTATGACATATATTGTAAGTGGCATGCATGCACACACACACACACACACACATAGTGGGTGTACAAAAAATTACAGCAAATTGCAGCATTTACACCCTTTTTACTTTGTTTTATGTTTTTTCATAAATTTTCAGTTATTATTTTCCAAACACAAAACTTAATAGTTTCCATTTATTAATTTCCATTTTTCATTTAAAAAAGTGGAAGACAAGTTCAAATTAGAATATAAACTACTACTGGAATTTTGGTTTTTAAGTGGCACTCTTTTGTAGTTGCTACAAGACAATGTTGCACAATTAGAAGCCATACATGAAGATTTGCCTCAGCCATCTTTTCTATTTGGGATGCTTTCTCCCTTGCAATAGCTGAAGCCAATTCTGCTTTTGCCAACTCTTGTGTTTTTCTTATGCTTAGCTCAGCTTCAGTTTCCTGCAGTTTGACATATAGGCAATTTAACTCTGGAAGTCTTAACTTAGGTTTCACTTTACAGAAAACAACCATGCCTTATAAGACTATAAAATGATACTCATTCTGTCCCACTTTGTTTGACATATAGGCAATTTAACTCTGGAAGTCTTAACTTAGGTTTCACTTTACAGAAATTTTAATGCAGTTTCTTAATGTGTAAATTTTAATTAGTAATACTAATTTAAGTATTAATAGAGAAGGTCTAACTTTATAGCCAGTCAAGCCTCATAATTCAAAGTAGGACACATAAAATGGGACTGAGGGAGTAATATATTGTCAATAGCAAAAAAAATGCACCTTTTCTTCAAGCTCCTTCCTATGTTTTTCATGCAGATTTTCTTCAAGTGATTTTAGAGCAGAAATTGCCCTGCCTTTTTCTTTCCTTAATTCCTGTCATTCCAACCACAGTTAACATTCAATACAGAACATCACTGTTTTTAAAGCAGCAGTAAATATTACAAAAGGCAGAAAACTATATTTCATAGTCCTAGGCCAAGCTTAAAATAGTAAATTATACCACAAAAACCTTTCCTTGTTCACATTTGGATTTAAGAAGAAAGAAAGAATTCATCTATGTTAAGGGTATAGAAAAAGTGTTTTTTACTTTTAAATTTTTAATCCTCCATTTATTGTGTAAATGGCATTTGTGGTCGTCATCTTTGAATTGTTCCACTTTTCGTCCTTCTACTATTGTGATAGAAACACTTTTGGTACTTGGCTTTGAATTGTTCCACTTTTAGTTATCTGACTATCATAAAAGTGTCACTTTTGGTCTCCCAGATTTTATGGAAAAAATATAGTTGGAGCCTCGGAGGACTAATACTGTTACTTATTACAACAGTCAAAGGACTGTGATATGACCAAGAAGAAATTTTCAAATACCGGTACTATTAGTGATTTAGTGGTTCTATCACAATGGTGAAGGATTGAAATTGGGAAAATTCAAAGTCAAATACCAAAAAGTGTCATTGCTATTTGACATAATATTTAGAAGCCTAAAAGTGGCAAAAAATTGGTAATAAAAATATAATAGAAGTCGAGACACTAGTTATGAAGAACACAGAAAAACAACCAGATGAAAATTTAGAGAGAACATAGATTGTTCATTAACCTTATCAAGTAAAGCTTCCTTTTCAGCATACATAAGCTCTCTGGCCCTTGCGTCCTTTAATTCCTTTTCATACTTCTCCTAATTTCATTAGGAGAAAATTCAATATACACAAGAAAAGAATTAAAGTGAGGTACAAAAACAGCACTGGGATACTAAGTTCTAAGCATAGCTCATTTACATCATGATTGATGTCAAACCTTCATTATCCGCTTTTCTTCATTGAATAGATGGGAATCAATCTCTGCCTGCCTTTTCTCTGCTTCATGAATAGCTTGCAAAAAATCAAGAACCAGTTTCCCATCCTTTGATAAGTAAGCCCCATTTAGATCTTCAATAGCCTTCAGTTTCAAACTCAACAATGAATCAGTCCAGAAGGGATACTTGGATTATTCTTCCTTTAGGAAAAACCTAAGGGAGAGAAAGTTACCCTCTACTCTTTTCTTCATTGTTTTTTGAAATTGTCAAGGAAAATGGGAAGGGTGGTGCTATAGTAGCATAAGAAAAAAATACTTATTATATTCAATTTGCTAGTTTGCGAGATAAACCAAATCTAACTTAATGATAAAAGAATTAAGGTGTGTAAATCATTTTTCTGCATGAGGTGAATTGACTATTCAGCATTTTCTTTCAAACAGATTTTTTATGAGGAAGTGCAAACTGCAAAGTATATACCTTGTTGGAGGAAGCGGATCCAGGAGCTTCATCCTTATGTCTGAGATAGTATTCATCAAGGAGTGAACCAAGTGGTGTGGATAGGTCATGGGGAGCCTTCTGTAACCTGAGCTACTTAGTGAACCACAATAGCAGAATAACATATGCAGTTGGCATTTCATTTTAAAAGTACCAAGTAGCTTGTACCTGCTGTTGTTCACTTTGAATGCTCACAAGCTGTGTGTGTGTGGAGTTTGCTTCACTTTTGGGAACTATTTCGGCTTGTTCAAGTGTTGGAGAAATTTCAACTATATCATGATGTTCGGTATTCGGAGTCACATCTGGGGTTTTGAAGCTCAGTCTCTCGTCAGGCAGAGTAAAATCATCTTTTGCAATGTCAGATGACATGATACTGTGGGAGCTCACATGCTCATTAGCATGGATATTATTGGCATCTTCATGAGTAAGTTCTGGGGAACTGCTAACCTGATACTGGCTCTTATCTTGGTTTATGCTTGTATCTTCTGACTGAGAGAGGTATGAACAACTCTTGGAGCTTTCTGTAGAATGCCCCACATCAGGAGTAGACACATTTGAGCTTTCCCCTACACTAGGAGTTGATACATTTGACTCAGACACACTAGGCTCAATTTTTGGGTTTTCTAATTGTCCACTATCATGTTTGATGCCTTTATATTCTTTTGAATCATCTTGGTCTGCAATTATGGCAGCATCATTTGTTAATTCATGTACTTTATTTGGTGGCTCTTTGATTAGATATTTATCCAAATAGCCAGTTTGATAAGCTGCCATGAATGCAGCACCTAATGCAACACTCCCAATGGCAAATTTTGACAGAAGACCTCCAGAATTGGAGGGCTTGCCAGATGAATCTGATCCTTGAGGTCTGTTCTGTGGTGATTGAACCGAGAATTCTTTTCTCAAAGATAGACACGATGGAACCTGCTCCAGTTGTACCACCGTCATGTAAATATGAATTGGAAACAATTAGTTCATTTCGTATTTTAATTAGCATAAATATTTTGAACAATTACAAAAAAAAATCTAACATCAAGATTTTTTGTACTTTTGCATATTTGAAAAACTATATAAAAGAAAACTTATGAGAAGCAATTAATGAGTACACATGCACTAAGCATAATGTTGGTGATATTAGAGATATTCAGTCTCTGATTTATTATTATTGCACTCTGTCGACTGTCGTATTCTTTGACTCTAGCCATACCGTTCCAATAGGAATTCTCACATAGGAAACTATGCATTCTAATCCTCATTTTAAGTGTTTTACTCTCCAACAAGTCTCATACTCCTCTCAACAAAATATTGAAAGGCAATAAGTCACAATAGAGAGTAGAGACTTGGATGTTAGCACAGATCATGGTGGAGTAAACCTAATAGTTTGAGTTCCTCCTTCTAAAGAAGGAGAAAACTTTCGTATCAATATTTGATGGCTACCTGTGTTGTCTACACCAAATGCTGCTACGGACATTAAACATTCCCCCAGAAGGCCCAGAGTACTTAATGAATAAAGAAAACTCTACAGTATGCTGTACGCCTATTTAATGGATTCCGGGTTGCAAAAACTCAATGAGGTCCCATCCTGAAAAGCGCTATTAATTCCTGTTTGGACTAGTGATGTATGGATGTGGGAAGGTCCTACTTTATTTTCTTTCTTCAGACCACACTCACATATTAAGAGCATAGCATAACACGAATTTACCAAATGAATGATCAACCCAACTTTAATATGCAGCATTACAGAGCATATAAGACTATAGCTATTACAGACACCTCCAAATGAAATTGAGAAACATGCCTGGTTCACAATCTGAGCTGGAAACCTCTCGAATGATCGAGGCCTTGAAACCTGCAAAATGCGCCTGCCAATAATTGAAATGGCATTCAGAAACCCTAAATCGCAGGCAATCATAGAAACGTAACATTAAATGAGAGGAATAGCAATAGATGAACCCCAACGCATACATTAGCGTAACTGGGATCATTTAACTTCCTCATTAGACAACTAGTAGACGAATAACTAAAGAAACATGAATGCTAATCATCATGCCGACAAAAGGGTACGACTGGTGTGTTGTACCTCCGCAACATGGTGGAGAGCGTAGGAACAGAGCTGCCCTTGTGAAGAGGAAGATGGAATGTAATGGTGAATGGATGTTAAGGTTTTTCTAGCGAAGTCCAGACTCCAGAGATATTTTGCTCTATTCCTTTTTTTTTTTTGGCTTTTTGACTCCAAGATATTAGCCTCCTACATTTAGCTAGATGTTTTTTGAACACACTTCCTTCAAAAAAAAATTGAACTCACTTTTTTGGTCTCATAAGTAAATTCTATTTAAGTACAGAGCATATTTTTAATTTTAATTTTAATTGGATTGATTTTAGTCTCAAATTGGATCAAATACTCTAAATTGTGGACATTCATAGATTTGGCAGGAGTTAACTATTACTCTATATTAATGTGATTTTAATTCTAGGGGGGACTAAACTTGAGAACTTGGACGAATGGAGAAATATTGCTTTATGTAATGTTGTGTTTAAAATATTTCTTAAAATGTTGTCAAATCTGTTAAAAAATCTTCTAGATGATTTGATTGATTGTTGATAATATTGCACTGATTTTTGAAACTCAACACTTCTTGAAACAGAAGAGACCATGAGAAGATGGTTATGTGGTCTTGAAACTGGATCTGAGCAAAGTGTATGACCTGGTTGAGTAAGATTTTTTAATTAATAATGACGAAGGTGAGATTTAACAATAGATGTATTCAATTAATTATAGGATATACATCGAAGACTAGCTATTCTTTTTAATAAGGCAATAATAAACTAGTAGGTCCTAATATCCTATTATACTAGAGAGGGGACTTTGATATGAGGATCCATGATCGCCATACTTATTTACTCTTGTGGTTGAGGGATAGAGTGCTCTTACAAAAAAAAAAATAGAGTGCTCTTATATGACGCATGGAAAATAGAGGGAATATTTGAGGGAGAGTCGACGACAATATTATATTTTTCGAAGCTATGATTAAGGATTGTCTTACGATCAAAAGTGTTCTTCACATTGAGATATGAACAAGCCTTCGGGAAAATTGTTGGTTTTAATAAGTCTTGATTAATTTTCAGCCCAGTTATAGTATAATTTGTCGAGTATTACTTTTGCAACATATTGAGTATTCCCATAGAGGGAAGCCAACCGACTTGCAGGGAGAAGGGAAATGGTTATTTTGGGATATCTAAGGGAAATAACTTGACTCGTATAGATAGTACGTAGGAATAATAGGTTCTTATCGAGAGAGGGGAGGTTCGTTGTTTCTTAGAAACGTTGTTCAAGCAAGGTCAACATATGCTATGGATGTATTCTTATTACCCAAATGACTAATTGAGGAGATAGGAATAATCATGAATGAGTATTGATGGAAAGGACCAAAATTTGAGATCAGAGACAATCAGTTTGTGTAAACCAAATTCTGGGGGGGGGGGGTCATGAAAAATAGGGAGTTTAATATTGATATGTTTGCAACACATTGAGTATTCCCATATAGGGAAGCCAACCGACTTGCAGGGAGAAGGGAATTGAAATGGTTATTTTGGGATATCTAAGGGAAATAATTTAACTCGTATAAATAGTACACTGGAATAATAGGTTCCTATCGAGAGAGGGGAGGTTCGTTGTTTCTTAGAAACGTTGTTCAAGCAAGGTCAACATATGCTATGAATGTATTCTTATTACCCAAATGACTACTTGAGGAGATAGGAATAATCATGAATGAATATTGATGAAAAGGACCAAAATTTAATTGAGATCAGAGACAATCAGTTTGTGTAGACAAAATTGTGGTGGTGGTGATGGGGGGGTCATAAAAACAGGGAGTTTAATATTAATATGTTGGCACAATAGTCCTTTTTAGGCTCGATATAACTTGGATTCAACATTTTTGAATGCCAAGGTGGGTAGTGAGTCATCTTTCGTACGACGAATTATTGTATAAATTCAACGGGTAGTTTGTGAGAATATTCAGAGGAAGGTTGTCGATGGTGTTGAAGTTCAGGTTTTGGCTGATGCATGACTTCCGAGTGGAGAGTCTAAGAGAGTGAAATCGGCTAGATTAATTGGTATTAGGTATATGAACGTCACAACCCTATGAACGGAGTAACAAAAAAATTGGAATTGGAATATGGATAAAATGGATGCTCATTTTATGAAAGTGGATGCATTGCATATTGATCATGGGTGCAAGGATGATTTTTTATGGTACGAAAAGAGCAATAGAATGTTTTAGATTAGAAGTTGCTATAAATATTTGATTATGGCTAGCGGGGGGTACTATTAGGGGGGGGGAGACACACGTAGTGGACATTACGACTAGTACAAATTGGCATACCTGGAAATTCCAGTTCTAAACAACAACAATAATTTAAAAAAATGATAGATAAAAAAGGTTGAAAGTTTATACCTTTGTTAAGAAGCTACATATTCTTTGTAAAGAGAACTACAGAGGTAAATTTGATGAATGCATTTCCTTTTCTCTTAGAAAATACCTATTTATACTAGAGTTAAGATGATATGATAAGATCTATATATTATCCAATAATCAATATTTAAATATATTACTCCCTCCGTCCCACAAGTTCCCACTTTCCTTATTTGGATGTCCTAAAACAAACTTCTCATTTCCCTAAATGGAAAGTTATCCTACATCAAAACGGTGTCAAAAAGTGCAAAACAGTGCCAAACAGTGTCGAAACAGTGCCAAACAGTGTCGAAACAGTGCCAAACAGTAAAATTTACCCTTCAGTAACTTTATTTCCTTAAAATGTGTGAAAGTCAATCTGGGAACTTGTTCCCGGGACGGAGGGAGTATATAGTATTTAAGTGATGGGTTATGGGGTCCGAGGGTAGTATTGTTTTAGAGAGGTGAGAGCAAATGTAGAGAGAAGTTGTATTAAAAAATGGAACAAATAAGAACCTCCGATTGAGGACTTCGTAAGATGTTGAGCGATGAAAACCCTAGTGGCGGAGTATAGGCCGGCCGCCGGTCCTAGATCGATCGATTGATTGCGATCAAGATTACAGGCTCTACGACATCAGGTTCCTTCTTCTTTTTGCTTGGTTTTGTTTGGCTTATAGTCTTGTTGGATTACGGGTTGTTTGCTCGTCGTTGGTCCGACGCTTCCTTGGCCGAGATTCTTCTTACGTTCGTACTTGAACGGGTATGGATTCTGAATTTTTACTCTTGTTCTCTTTCTGTATGACTGCACGGCTTCATTGTTGATGCAACAAGTTTCATTTGGTTTTTCTTTATACGGTTTTTGGCATACTTTATTTGCTTGTGTTTGTGGATTTGAGATTGAGTTGCTATGACTATGATTACAAAGGATGTCAGCATGATATCAATTGATGTGGAGGAAAATAGGGGTTTGGTGCTCACAGCTAATCCTATTGAGAACGTTGACGAGACTAAAGAGGGTTCGATCTAGCGGTTATGGCTAGAGTGGTATCGGACAAACCTATTCGGGGTGTATTTTCCTGTCAAACCATGGGTATGGTTTGGCGACCAATCAAGGGAGTTTCAATTGATGAGATTGGGGATTCTAGATTCCTCTTACAGTTTTATCATGAAGGGGGTCTGAGTAGGGTTGTTAATGAAGGGCCTTGGTCTTTTGAGCAAAATCTTGTGGTCATCAAACGTGTGGGACGTACCGACAGACCTCTTGAGATTCCACTGGATCGTGCAGATTTTTGGGTTCAGGTTCACAATTTACCATTAAGCTACATGACGGCAAGGGATGCACGTGGAATAACTAACATCATAGGATCGTTTGTGCAAGTGGACGAGAGCTCTCTTGGCAGAAAGCAAAGGTTAGTACTGCACATCGGAGTCACTATTAATATTACTATGGACTTGATCAGGCGCTTGCAGGTCAGACAAGAGGAGATAGTTGGATTTGGGCAAACTTTCGCTATGAGAGACTCCCAAATCTTTGTTTTGTGTGTAAGATTCTTGGTCATGCTGATACGAGGCGAGAGGGTTCATATCCGGGCAATATGTGGCTGATTTCTAGTAAGGATAAGCCAGGAGACAAGAGGGATGTAGGAGTAGACCTTGGTAAAATAACAAGCGAACACGAGAACTATTTGGTAGAAGGACTCCTATCAAAGGGCAAGGAGATTGTTACAGTTTAGGAAGCACAAAAAATGCAGGGTCACTGAGAAGGATAACGAGGAGGGGGCTTAGGCAAGCATGGAAGTGTATGAAGCAATTCCAAAAAACTTAGAAGTGGCGGTGCTGTTCGGGCAGCACCGCCAGTAGCAGAATATTTGGAGGATAAACACGAGAAACCTTTAGCGGAGTCTGGTCAAACCGTTGTTTCCTTGCAGTGGCTGGAAAAACTGGATTACGTTCTTCTTTTAATTTGTTTTCGACTCAGAACTCTTTTATGGTTTTTGCGTTTCCTTTTAGTAGCATGTGCAACATTGTTGTGAATGGAGTCTACCAAATCACGGGGTTAGTGGGATGGACCACTAGTGAGCGTGATTGCGGCTCTGATTCTCACCCAAGTGTAGCCTTTGTTATGACGAACTTGTATGTCATCCTCAGTTTTAATAATTAAGTTATCTTTTGTCAAAAAAATGGAACACTAACCAATACAAGAATTTGGTCTGATTCCCAAATGAGAAGTATTGCTATTTATAGGCAAATACAAAGGCTGACCTTAAGCCAAAAAGAGCCAAGTGAGTCATAGAGTTGACACTTGTCCCAAAAATACTCGGGTAATATGTCAGTGATGTAATGATGATGTGTGATGATGTCAACTCTTGTAATAGACGGGTGATGTAAGTAATGATGTATGCCCTTCTGGAATTTGGGCCTCTGACGTTAGCGAAATCGCTAGTGATATAAGCTTTGGGCACACGACTTGTTGGAACGCCCGTGAAATGATTAAGCATAAAACTGTAACCAAACCAAGGCGGATTAGGTCCGCTCGGACTCATCTGGTAGTCAGTGGGATATCTATAGTGACAGTCACTTCACTGGGCTCAGCTTCAATGACTCACTATAGCAGCTCGGCTCGGTGATGGGCTGGTGATGAAGGTCTCAACCTTAGTGCAAGGCATGGGCCTTCTTCCTGACAGGTGACTTGGGTTGTAACTTTGGACCGTCTGATCTGTGGGCCCCTCGAGTATATCACTAAGCTTATCTCACTTTTGATATGATCTTTTATTGAATATTAATTATAAAATTTATTACATGATATAAAAAATTAT